GCTTTTTAGTTTTCCTAACTCTTGTTGTTTCCCTTTGCATCTGTTCTTGTCATTATTGTATTTTTAGGGAAATAAATCAAATGAATCTATTATTAGTAGAAGCGGTTTGGCGCAGCGTGAACGGTTTGGTTTCCCAACCTCGAGTTCGGGGTTTCAATCCCTCGCTGTGCATTTCTCTTGTGTCCTTGAGCAAGGCACTTTATCTGCATTGCTTCTCTCCACCTAGGAGTATAAGTCAAGTGGGTACCTAAGGATGTTCGATTGCAAAATTCACTGAAATATTTAATGCAGCAAACTATGGAATTTCCCCCATCTTCATCATTTCAATGACTGGGGTAATAATGTGGAAAAGCGTTCTAAGACTTGTACAGAGCACTTCAGCATAAAAACCTACATATTATTATTATTATTATTATTATTATTATTATTATTATTATTATTATTATTGTTTTGATAGAATAACAAATATTTTGTTATCAAATTGACAAGAAAACATTTGACTGAATCATTTAAAAAACTGATTACAATTTCCATGTATTAATTATTATTTTAATTATTCATTTTCAGCGTCAGATATGAAAAGAAATGATATGATATCAGAATTACTACAGAAAAGGCAAGAACAGGATATACGTAATTTGAACGGCGCATTAGTGGAGTTTCGCAAACTTCACCAACAGCCGGACGCTGCCCGGGAGTGGGACCTTAATGACCCAGATGCGAAGAAAAAAGACAAGCCTGCCAGAGTCCATGATGATGATCCACGGTGCGGTATTTCTAGCATTCAGAAGTTTGACGGTGAAGACCTGAATAGCGAAGCCCGTCAGAAACTTATGAAGGAGCAGATGCGCGAGTGGACTAAAAAGCAGAAAGCAGAGCGGAACCTGCAAAACAAGCGACAGTCGGAAGCCGATAGATTGTACGATCTTCATCGACGAGAGATGGATCAGAGAGCTATGGAACTCAACAAAGCAGAGGAGGATTGTCGTCGTGCGATTAACGAGTCTGTCAGGGATTATAATAAAGCATTGGTAATTGGCCAAATTATAATTTATTCATACTAACACATTTTTAAAAGTACAGTATTATGTCTGTTGGATTAGGTCATATGAGGCATGTTGTGCCAAAATGGTCAAGTTGTAGCAAAAGTTAAAATTCAAGTTATTGGTATTTTCAGATACCTGAGTATGTAATCTCCAAAACGACGGTTCATTTATTGAAATCGGACATTTCAATCCTAAGTTATTGGAAAGTGAATGTACAGCACTCTTAGAGTCAAGATAAATATGATTTTGAGTAATTGCCTTCTAAAGTTATTTGCATACATTGTCTATATAGAATTAACTATCAAAATAATTTGTTAAATAAATGATTTGTTGACAATTTCCAGAAATAATACTTTGGGATATGATTATAAGAAGACACATCAAACTGTTGATCTATAGTGAAAAACAAATTTGGATTTTTAGGAAGTTTTTTGAGCTCCCATATTTTATAGCTCATTTACTCAATACTGGCCTGTGTGACAACTTAACTATTTCGCCACGACATGCCTCATATATGCACGGGTCGTACAGTAAGCAGGGATATAGTTATCGTGGGTGGGGCCACCCATCTTTGAAGTTATCCACCCAGTGTAAAGCAAATTTCATGGCCCTCCAGCCACCATTATTAACTCACTTTTCCATCCTTAAAATCCACTCATATTATGTCATCACCCACCCACCCTTAAAATGTCTATTCATTCATTCATTCATTTATTTGGTAAATATCA